CACTCATACAGCAATGGTTCAAACATGCATGGACAGGAAAGCAACTGACAGGAAAGCATGATCTCAACCAGACACAGCACATAATCATAACCACCACATCAACAAGCAACCACTTACTGTAAGTGCTGGTGTGCCAGCAGCCAAGACTGCCAGTTCCAACACGTTTATTTGCTGGTTAGCCCAGCTGACCAATGAACAGTGAAGTGCTCATGCCAGCATCCAGACTTGGCACTTGTAAAAAAAGAGGTGCACATGTGCAACCTGTACAGGTTGAACACGAAGTACAGCACATGCTGATTAGTACTGATTGCGTCTGAGTTTTTGGCAGGGTATGCTGGCCCTTGGTAACCAGGATACCACACAGGTCACCTTTTCAACAGCACCTATTGAGGGCTTCATAATGGAAAATAATGTCGAGACTAGCTCTGGAGCTCCCAGTTATGAGCTGGTGTTCAGGCATCCGATTTGGCAGCCATGGATACAGCACAAATTTCCCAAGGGTGAGGGACCACGAAACCTGCAAAGTGAGCAAAGGCATTGCTGAAATGCGACGGAAATGTACAGGCGGATAGGAGCAGTTACGAATATAAAATTGCTCACCATATATTGCTCATTGGGGAGGGTTGCGGAGAACGTGATGCATGCATGCGCCTGTCACCCGCATGTATGTCGGTGTGTTGTGTGTGACGTTATTATGACGACGTTTAGTCGTTCCGTCATCGGGACGGAGACCTTACCCCAACTTTGCTGTCCGTCCGTCTGTTCGGAGTTGCTGCTGTTTTCGCGTTTTTCACCGTGTCGTGCGCGGTTTCGGAGCCGCAGCTTTTAGGCTAGCTCCGTCGCCGCTTGGGAGCCACGGTCGCCGGTTCGCGCCCCGTCGTCGTCGCCGCTTTTTGCGGTTTTGTTGTTTCGTTCGGCGCAGCGCGCCGCACCGGACTACTATGGATGGCACCGCACCGCACCACACCTGGGCCCGCGGAAGCCGCCCCGGATCATGGCCGTGCGCCGCTTCGTTGGGTGCGCTAGCTCCGGCGTCGAGTGGGAATCGCAGTCGCAGGTTCGATCCCGGTGCCGGCGTGTCTTATGTCCATTTTCTACGTTTACGTTGCGGCTCGCTCGCTTCGTCGCCCGGCGCCCGCTTTCTTATATTTTTCGTTCGGGAGCACTGCCTTCATCGTCGCATGGTTCGTTTTTCGCGTCGTCGTCGTTTATTGTTCATTTCTTTTCGTTCTGGACCGTGCACTGCACACCGCGTCGTCCCGGACTGCACTGCTCCACGCCTGGGCCCTCGCAATGCGCCCCCGAGCATCGCCGTGCACCGCTTCGGTGTCCGCGCCGCACCGCACTGCACCGCGTTGCACCGCACCGCGCCACACTGCGTGTGGCAGTGCATCGCACCGCACCACACCTGGACCCGCGCAATGCGCCCTAGAGCATCGGTGCTCACCGCTTGTGGTGTGCGCTAGCTCCGACACTGAATGGGAACCGCGGTCGCCGGCTCGATCCCGGTGCGTGAGTTTCTTATTGTTTTTTCGTTCAGGACCGCTTACCGCACCGCACCGCACTGCACCGTACCGCACCACGATTTAACACGCAAATCGCAAAACATTGGCTGCACCGCACTGCGCAATTTGACATGCGCCGACTCGCGCATTTTAACACGCAACCCACCACACAACTCGACATGCAATTAAACATGCAATTCAATGCGCAATTTAACGTACACCGAACCACGCAATTTGACGCGCACTGAACTGTGCAGTGCTTGTCCAATGTTGTCCGTGTAGGCTGTACGGCATTTTGTGAAGCTGTTTTGTTCATGGACGTTGGCTCGCTACAATATAACTGCACCGCATATATACACATCCGGTTTACTTATCTTCAGATGCGGTTGCTTTAAAGCTGGCGGTTGTAGACTAGTTGCGCTGCCGACATAAGCTGCGCGGTATTTCGCGAAGCTGGCCTCTTTACATGCATCGGCTCGCTAACCGATTTTCGCCAGACGACAATATCTCGGCACATCAACGGTTGTTCATCGCCATCGATGGCTATTCATCGCCATCCTCGTCTGCACGTCCTACACGATACAAGGTCAGTCCACGTTGCAAAGCAGTAGCAATGAATAGAAACGACGAATAGCAGTGAGTAGAAACGATAGCAAGAATAGCAAGGAATAGAAACACAATGCGCACCGAAGTGTGATGTGCAACACAACCTGACCCGCGGGTCGTGTTCGCTGGGTCATGTACCGCGTTTTTTTTATTTCCATTGAGACCGCGCACCCCACTAGCCATGTCTCGGCTCGTCGTGCTTCGTCGTGCTGTATCATCGTGCTATCTCTGTCACCGTGTGGGAGCCGCAGTCGCCGGCTCGATCCCA